TTGCCTACTTTGAACTGTCTGCGTAGGTTGACCATCTCATATAGACGCTGCTCCTCCAGGCCTCTCCTCCTGCACCACTTCCTTGAGCCACCACCTCTCTCTCCCTTCACCTGTTGATGAACAGTTTTAAGTACAAGGAAGACCATCTTATATCAAATCTGGCTATTCCGTTCATGTCAAAAAGCCGATGTCAAACGATGTTTCCACTACTGACCTCCACCCAGGCATTGAAGGTGTTGAGCAGGGTAAAGGGGTCCCCGTGGTTGCTCTGCAGGGGCTGGCGTGCAGTGGCACAGTCTGGGTTGTGCTGTGAGCTGCGCAGGAAAGGCGACTGAACACTGAGGGCTGCTGCTACTGTCAACACGGGATCCACCAGGTTAAACAAAGAGCCCAGCACCAGCATCTTCCCTGAATGAACACAAACACACACACACTTACCTAAATCTAGCTGCTACTGTGTGTGTTGCAATTTTAAACTCCAGTACATCATGGACACATTTATTGATATTTTGTATACTAAATTTAAGAGAAACCAAGCCTGAAATTATGCAATTTAAACTTTATTCAACTGTTTACCATCATTTTGAGTTCTGTTGTCAGCTTCATGTAAACAATAGATGAGACAAAGAACACTAAAAAACTACAACACAAGTTTGGTGAAGGGAACCTTACCTATGACCACATCCACAGGCAGTTGTGCCAGCAAACTACCAATAGAGGTCAGTTCACCACGACTGTCCAGCGCTCCCTGCTGTTTCAGATAAGTAACTGCAGTCTGGATACTAGCAGCTGGAGGTGGATCAATGAAGACAAAAGAAAGTGGATCTCCAAGACTCATGCTCTTCATCTGCAGAAACAAGACAGCATGAATAAAGCTAAAATGTAACTATGGAAATTGAAGAATAAAAAAACAAGAATTTCCATCCTGCTTTCTATGGGGTATTGTCACCTGAAGAATGAGGGAGTCCAGAGCCACTCTGTGGATTTCAGGCACCGGATAAGGTGCGAAGGCATCGTAATCGGACTCAGCGTACAGGCGGTAACATACTCCTGGACCTGTGCGACCGGCTCGACCTTTCCTCTGCTCAGAGCTGGCTCGGCTGATCCAGAACTCCTGCAGACGTTGCATCTTGGCCTTCGGATCAAAACTCATCTCTTTTACCTTCCCTGTAAAAGAATGAATGACAAAACAATCCATTTGTGTGGGTGTCATTCTACTTCTGAGCCGTGTATTGTTTCCCCCCCTTCTTTACTATTTAAATTTAGAAACCATTTTCCCCCCAAAATTCGGCAGATTTGGTATCTTTTGAACCTTTGGGATCTTTTGGGACAATGATTGGCTGCACAAAATTAGGTTTGTTAAGATGGATCCATTGGTAGTGCCAGCTAATTAAAAACTACTAGTGCCTTACCTGAGTCTACGACAAAGCGTACTCCATCTATTGTAACTGAAGTCTCAGCAATATTGGTAGAGATGATGCACTTTCTCACTGCAGGAGGAGAAATGTCAAACACCTGAAGAATAAACACAATGGCAGAGAATTAGAAACTGGTAAACCATATCCAACCTATCAGCTTCAAACATTGTATGTCCACTCCAATCCAAACAAAGATGACTGTGCCTTATCCTGCTGGGCCAGTGAGAGCGTGCTGTGCAGCGGCAAGACAATCCAGCGACGTGTGTGGGTGGCATAAACCTGACAGGCCTCCTGGATGGTGGAGATCTCCGCCACACCGCTGAGGAAGAGCAGCAGGTCGCCACGCTCCTCTGGAGGGTAGCGCTGATCGATGCCCTGCAGGATGCGCAGGTAGGGTCTGGGATCCAGTTTCTCGGAGCGCGAGGGCTGCTCCTCAGTCGGAATGGGCTGGTATATCACCTTAGTAAAGGAAACATGAAATATGAAACCCTGAAAACATTGAAATATTCATTTTGGAACATCATTACCAAATTGAACGCTCAGACTACCAAGAATACATTCAAACGAGCATACTGAATATTTTGAACTCCTGTTTTTGTCATTGAGTCCATTGCTTAGTGCATTGGTCTTTGAGCATGCCTACATCAAGGCCCAGAAAACTAATATCTTCAAGTGAGAAGTTATATTTACATCTGTGATGGCCGCTGTCCTCTGCTTACCTGTATAGGAAACAGCCTGCCTGGTACCTGCAGCACAGGAGCACCACCGAAGTAGTCAGAGAAAAGTTTGATGTTGATGGTGGCTGACATGAGGATGAGACGCAGGTCTGGGTGGTCAGACAGCAGGGAGCGCAGGACCCCAAGAAGGAAGTCACAGTGGAGGTGCCTCTCGTGGACCTCGTCCACGATCAACACCTGGTACTGAGACAGCGTCCTGTCCTGCTGGATCTGTCGGAGCAGCAGCCCCTCAGTCAGGAACAGCAGTTTGGTGGCCGGGGTCCGGGTGGTCTCAAAGCGGATCTGGTACCCCACCTGTAAAACACGACTGCCTTTTGTGAGCTTAGTACTTTATGCGTTTACTATCGAGTCAGTGCTGAAAACAAATTAAGAGACTATATTTGACTAAAACTGCAAATAACACACATTCACACATTATAGAGTCAAGGGGATATCTTCAAATTTCTAAGATGGTGTAAAAGTACTCTCATTACTCAGAGTGGCCCCTTTCAGAATCAGATATATTATATTATTGGATCATGAGTGGTGATGCATTAATGTGTCACTTTTATGTTACAGCTGGTAAAGGTGGAGCTCATTTTAACAACTTAACATACTGCTGGGTAGCTTGTGAATACCATGGGATCAATAAAGTCATCTTAATCGATAATTATACATCATATGTTATTCGTTGATTGTATTTTGTATTATTGATCTGAATCTCGAAAGTAACTGGTATCAAAATGTACAAGTAAACTACAATATTTAGGACAATATTTCCCTCCGAGTTATAGTGGAGTAGAATTCTGACTTGTTTTTAGAATATGCTTGATAAGTCTACAGTCTAGCTGGAGCTTCGACAAAAGGTAAAAACCTTCACTTGACCGTCCATGACAAACCTTTGAGCCATACTGATTGAGACTCTCAAAGCTGACCCTCTTCGCGAGGGATATACAGGCGATACGTCGAGGCTGAGTGCACGCGATGTGATTGAAGCCAGCTGAGAGAAGATACTGAGGTACTTGGGTGGATTTCCCACAGCCCGTGTCCCCCGCCACCACAACCACAGGGTGAAGTCGCACCAGCTCCACTATCCTGTCCCGGTACTGGAAGATGGGCAGGTTCTTCTGCTCCCGGCGAAGCTTGGCCAGCTTTCCAAAACTCTGTCTCTGGCTGAAGTCCAGGAAATGCAGGAGAGCCAGGCGGCAGTCGGAGATCTCCTCACTGCCTGGACCCGAGGATCTCTGCCTGCCTCTGTGCTCTGACTTCCCAAGGCGCTCCTCGACATCCCTGGTGCACACAGATACATTGATGCGGTAACGAGCGTCATACTCTTTCGGAAGGCCAAGGTCTACCTTTCCCGTGCCAGTCTTTTTCTCGTCTTCTCTGTCCTCTTTTGCTCCTGACCCAGACACGTCCCTCTTTGTTTTAAACCTTTGGAAGCGGTCAAAAAAAGACCAGAACTCTCTGTGCTCCGGGCTTCCAGCCTGGATGTAGTCATGTCGGCGGAAAAAGACCTCGTCCAGCTGGGCTCGGCACTGCGGGCTGTCCCAGTCCCAACTCCGGCTGTCTCTCCTTCGGTCTGAGTCCATATTTATTGTAAAATATGTTACTCGCCTTCACCACGGAGTTTATTCACAACTAATAAATTAAATCGACATGTATACGGCTTTGCCAACACGTAGCAGTTAAATAAGCTGATCCGTCTAAATCGGATATCTATAACTACTACATCGATTTCAAACCGTTTTTAATGTTTTGAATCCACGTGTCTGAGACAGACACAGCACGAGTCCTTAACATTGTTTTGAACCTCTACATCTATGATTATTGGACAAGAATATGTTACGACTGAAAGAAAAGAAACACCGATGAATACAAATAATTATAGAAACTGCTGCGAAAACCAGGGGAACAATAATACGGTGGGACCGTTTCCGGTCCGTTGTTAAATATCTTCCGGTTAAGTTTAGATTCAATTGTTTTTTGTTCCGGAGTTGATTCAGATCTGAATACAAATATGTCATTTCATTGTAATCAGAAACATAATCCATTTAATTAAAAATGTAATATAATCCAATCCGTTTGGACCATTCAAAATCAAACATTGAGTATTTTGTTTAAATACACGCAACAGAGGATAATGGAGACACGTATGAAACGCAAAATAAAAACACAAAATATAATTTGCAAATGGTCCAAAATTAGCACTTCTTTCGGACATCCCATCATTTCTCTATTCTGCAGTAATGTCCATCACATAGTGTCAATCTCTCTCCAGTCTCTCCTCAGTTAGTTTAGATTAGTTTATTTGCACAATAAAAAAAACACGAACACAAAATGTATATACATAATATGACTACGTAATATTGATGACAAAGTATCTAAACAAAGTATAGGATGTATAGTGAACAATTAATTATCAACTACAAAAGACGGAAAATGTGAGTGTGTGTGTGTTAGGTAGAAATTGGTTTATACAGCTGCATTAACTCCTAAACAATAGTGACGCTTTGTCACTATGAGTGAAACAACTATAAATACAATATAGAAAATGATAGTTCTGAAAAAACATCCTGCTGAAATAGACACACATGGTCTACTTCAGCAGGATAAAACATACATTGTAATGAACATGGCAGAGTGAACAAGACAATTCAAATATTAATTCAGTTTAAGTAAGGCACAATGCAATGTAAATAGGTTGGATGTTAAGTAAAGTGATCAAAAATCATTCCAAAAAAATCAGATGAAATACAGAGCATGAAAAAATAAGTGCAAAGAATTGGAGGTTATATATTAGAAACATTTTATTTAAAAACATCTGCTATAAAACCACATTTACACAGATTCAAGACAAATTAAACTGGAAAGCTAACATTGTACTGGATGGAATAGAGGCAATGTCATCATATTAAACATGAAAGCTTATACTCGAACAAAACCAAAATTTGTTCATGCCGATATATTTTATGCTGATAGAAAAGCAGTTCACTGTTAATATAAAATGCCATCCATGATGAGAAGGGCAATGCTTTCCAAAGAGAACAATCACATCACTAATAAGATGAGTAAGATACCAAGCCATAGGAGGTAAAATGGAACGAGCTTGCTGTAATTTAGATTTTTAATTTACAAAATTCAGAACAAAGACAAGGAAAACTGGTAGGACATTCTTATATCTACTGATAAAACACAAGACGCACAAATGCAAGGACGCACAATTTATTCATGTAAATAATAATAATAATAACTTTATTGTGTATATGGGTAACAATCACACTTAAAATCTATTTCATGTGCGGCACATAACATTGTTCTCCATTTAAAACAAGCTTAAAAAACAACAGCAAAAAACAACACAAAAATAAAAACTTTATTTACATTTAAAAACATTTCATCATCCCCACCCTCATAAAATCACAGTCATAAAATATGTTTCAATTGCTTTTCAAGCATTTTCCACTGCAGCTGCGACTGGGAGTCAACACCACCACATCAGCTGGAAAGTCAGATCGGTGAAGCAACAATCCGTACTTTGGTACTTGTCATCAGTCTGTGTTCATGTCAATATGACCTTGTTAAGGCCATGCTTTCAGTGGTCTACGCTCCTGTCTTTTCTTTGATCCATCCACGGAATTTGGTGACTGTTGTGTAGATGCCAGGTTTGTTCCTGCGGGCACAGCCATCACCCCAACTGACCACTCCTGCCAGGAACGTACGACTCCCGGACGGACTGGACAGAGGGCCGCCAGAATCCCCCTAACAGAGACGAATACAGGTACATGTGAGAGTTACTACATGGGGGCAGTGTGGGGCATTTTCTTGTCTCTCTGCCCCGCATTTTCCTCCGACACCACCTCCTTCTCTGCAATTTTAAAGTCAGAAATGTTTTTTCCCCATCCTATGTCATCAATGCAATGAACTGAACATGCCTAACACTATATTATCACCACAGTATAATTGACAACCGTTACATTCCTAGCTAATTGTCAAATTTACATGTTGATAAAATATTCATATGCCTTATTTGGTAAAACATTTGGGGAGAAAGCTGAAACAATAAGAAAGAAAGCAGGGCAGCATAAGGTTTAAGTACCTGACAAGCATCGACTCCTCCGGCCAGCACTCCGGCACACAACATCCGAGACGTGATCTGCCCTCCCATCAAATCGTTGCACACAGAGTGGTTGATGATTCGGACCTGGGCCCTTTGGAGCACTTTTGCAGCAAATCCTGTATCACAAAAACAACAGAAGGACACCATCACGCTTATGTTGAGGTCTAAATGTCATGTCATCAGGTTGGGCCTCTAAAGTAATAATGGCAGGCCATCATCAGAGAAAAGTTATAAAAGATATAAAAATATGTATTCACATCTACATGACATCTATCTGTCAGCAAATATAGAGCTAATACAATTAAAATATCTTAGCAAATTATGAATACCCAGTATACAACGGAGCATCACCATCAACAAAATTAAAAACTAATTGAATTTTGATATTCTTTCACTCACTGGATAGTTACTTCAGCTTAAGTTGGTCTCAACATTTATTCAAATGTTTCAGTATTAGTGGCTACAAGTATTCATCAAAATGAGAAATACAGGGTTTGCTTTGTGAAAACTCACCTCCTTCTCGAGTGGCGCCCCACCCGGTGATCCACACAGTGCTACCCACTGGAAAATCATGTTGGGGAGCCGGCATACAGATGGGCCTGATGTAATCCGAGTATTTGACAGGACTGTCCAGCTCCATTAGGGCGATGTCATGGTCATAGGTGCGTGCGTTGTAGTTAGGGTGGGGTATGACCTTCTTCAGGTTCCTCTTCACCACGGATGATCCAATATTCCCCTGAAGGTGAAGGCCAAGGTAAGCTTCCCAAGTGCCGGGCTGGGAGAATCTGAAGACATGTACCAAAACAAATCGCAAAGTTCATTCTCATTCTACGAAAACTACAGACAGGCACAGCATGTGGCACAAGCGTCACATGAGAAAATATGTACAATAAACCTGAGTGTATGTGATGACTCAGACTGCCTGCAAAATAAACTGAATGTTTAAAAGCATTTACAATATATTTATAAATATTATATTTTGTATAACTAAATATTTTAATAACCATTGTGATATAAAAATCCCAGTGTCCAGTCACCTTCAGAGAAAATGCATAAATATCAACCTACATCAGAATATGTACCGTGTAAAGACCTAAAATATCGAGATGTTATTTCTGACGGCACATCTGCCAAATAAAGTTGAATTTTCACCAGACATCTAGACTTATTCTGAAAGAGCTGCGAGCGTGAGCTCTGATTTCATACATAATGGCATATTGCAAAAAAATAAAAAATAATGATTTCTAGTTGCCAGTGAGAACATAAAACACAAAGTAAGATGCTACCTTGTTCGAGCGTCATCTTGCACACAGTGGGCAGCAGTGACCAGCCACATTGGACTGATGATGGCTGCTCCACACACGTGACCGAAACTTTTGACGTGGAGGCTGACCTGCCAGGGAAACTGCCCTTCATCTGCATCCTCACCACCCACAATACGCGACGTCTTGAATATACTCCTCCCGCAGTCTGCAACGTAATCAATCAATCAATCAATCAATCAATCAATCAATCAATCAATCAATCACAGGGCTGGCTTGTTGCAGCTTGTTGTCGTGCCTGAAGTGGTTGGAAGTTCACATCTGTTTTATCATACAAGCTTAACAATGCAGATTGCATCCGCTGAGGTTTTCATTGGGACATACCGCAATTCTCCTCGTCAGAGCCATCTTCACAGTCCGGTGTGTCGTCACATTCTGGGTTCATTTTACTGATGCATTCATTGTTTTTACATCTATAAGTGAGATCACTGCAGCTCACATCAGTGCCTACGGAGAGAGGGAGGGAAGAAAATTCAAACTATGAAACGGGCCCTGTATTAATTCCTTAAATGTAAGGGGGAACTCATTTCAGAATCATCAATTATGTGTTCCCTAAAATGTTTTCGTCACACATGTGCAAACATTTTAAACTGATAAAGACATCTTCACATTTGGCTCTTTTGCAGCTACATGCTCCAGTTTGTTCACATACTGTATATGTTTATTTATGTCTGCCATTTAGTGCTGAGCAGATAGTGTACAGTATAAGTGACTGATGTCTGGAGATATTTTTTGCAGTTTAGAAAAGGAGTCTTACCTCTCCCACAGTCGAGTTCATCCGACCCGTCCCCACAGTTGTCTGTGCCGTCACAGCGATTCTTCTCGGAGACACATTTGTTATTCTTGCATGTTATTTGTCCGGATTTGCATCCACCTTAGGAAACAAAAGACATAGACCAGCATGAGAAAACTGACCTTCCAAAGCTCATGTTAAATTCATCCTCCATGAGTGCAAACGGGTCTTACCACAGTTCAGCTCATCTGTGAGGTCTCCACAGTCATCTACGCCATCACATTTCCAGAACATGGGCTTACACAACCCATTCTTACAACTGATAGCCGATGAGTTGCACTCTGGAGGAAAACACAGTTGAACTCACTTTGTGTGCCAACAATGTAGAGAATAATTACACTATTGATGTTGACTCCTACTCCTGAGTATATTCAGAGTACTTACTGCAGTTTAATTCATCACTCATGTCTCCACAGTCATTCCAGCCATCACACCTGAGCGCTGTTTTAACGCAGCGCTGATTTGTGCACTGGAACTGCTTTGGACAAGCTGTGGATGACATGACAGGGTTAACACAAGATACACACTTGCTTAGTGTCAAGAAATAACCATTAGCAGAACGGGGAGTCCCTTACGGTCTTTGACGTCAATGGCCTCATACGATGCCTCAAAACCTCGGTCCACATAGGAGGCATCAGACATGAACACCACGCTCATTGTGTTGGTGTTGCTGGTTTCTGTCAATGTTCCGTCAGGCTTTTCTCCGCACAATCTGAGGATGACGTGCACAGGTAGTGGGACATCTGCTCTGTTATGCAATTCCTATGTGGTTTTAAGAGATACAAGCATGGACTCACCTCTTTTCGTTAATCTCCACGTAGTCCTTGCGACAGTCCTTAATCTCCTCCTGCCCGGACTCAGACAAGAGGAACTTTTTGAACGTCACCTTCACCGCCTTACCAGTAGGGACCTTAACGATTGACAGAGACGAGTAAAAACTTACTGACATGGTGACATGTGACCTTCAGAGGAGCATAACTAAACAGAAACATATGATACAGCCGTGTATAACGTGTCGATTAAGTGCTGTCGTCTCACCTGGATCGACCACTGACACGAAATTCGCGGAGGATAGTAATTTGGGAAGTTGGGAGAAGTGAAGGTGCCTTTTTCACCTGTCAGCTGGCCACCGCATTTCGCACCTGTTAAAAATACATGTTGGTGTCAAGATTTGTCCAAATATCAAACATTTATAGTGCAGCTCATAACAAAGAGGTTCAAACATTAATCCCTACCTTCAGTTTTGCTTCTGATTTGTGAGACTTTTGCTCTAAAACCTGGGTAGTTCTTCTCATTATTTGAGGCCATCGTCACCAGCATGACATTGCCAGAAGACAGAAAGGCCAATGGTTCACTAGGGGAGTAGTACCCACACATCCTGAGGAAGAAAAAACAGACAACATACATTTTCTATATGCACTGTTCACTGATGTGATGTTATCTAGTTTCCAATTTGGTTTAAATTGGCAAGAATGCCACTAATGACTTCACATTCTTTCATCTAATTTGCTCCCATATTTAGACTCTAAACTGTCATATCGCAATTCTGATTATTCTGTGTCTTAACCCAGGCAATGATAGGCAACTACACCTTTGTACGCAGTATAAGTGTACATCAGAAACACAGCATCTGACCAGCAGAGGGCCTTACATACTAGATGTAGTCCTCTCTATCCCAATCAAAAAGAATATGCCACTGCATGAAAATAAGAGTACAGAAGGCTGGTGAATTATGTATCTCCTTGAAGCTGTATTTAGATGAGACCAAAGGAAAAACTCACTCTCCCATAACACTGCTTTCGATGACCGTCAGGGAGTCGTAGATTTTGAGAAAGTCATTCTTGCAGTTCTCTTCAAGATTCATCGTATCAAACTCAAGCTTGATGATGTAGTTGGGGTCTGCTCTCAGCTGCCACTGGATGAAGGTGTTGGGGGGATATGGACTGTCAGGGAAGCCAGGCGACTGGATCTGCCCGATATGATTGGTCTTTGTATGTTCTGTAAACTTCAAAGATTCTGAGACAGAAACAATGACTTTGAGAAGTGTTCCCATTCAACTTTGTAAATCACAGGACTGCAGTAGCCCAATTATCTCAATGCAAATTGAATTACAGACTGTCAAACTTATTCTGATATCACTGGGCATGCTCAATTTCAACAGCTGTCTAATTTGTACTTTAGTATATACAATTTTCGGAATATGATGAAACACTGTACTTAAAGTAAACAAGTCACAATGACGCTTTTGCCAAATAGAGAGAAGAGTTTCAGCCCTGTACACTCCTTTTAAAATCTTTAACAACAAATTGGATGCCCAAATATGGCTCAACTACATGTTTATCATGCCAGTCAGACTGCTATTTTCTGAAGAGTATAAATTACATAATTTCTAATTCTTGCTGGGTAGAAAGATAAGTGGCAAACAAAAACCTATTTGTTATCTGCCAACTATATGTCAGAAGAATGTAACAAAAGACGATCAATAATGAGTTCAGCTATGGTAACATGTTTCAAACCCCATGAACTATGTGGTAAGACACATTTGCTGTTCTCTACTTGCATGGATGAGGTGTCAAAAATAAGATTAAGATGAGCACTTACTGGCGAATGATGTTGAAACCAGTCGGTCATCAAGTGCTGTGAGATGAAACAAATGACAAATAACTTAGATGAGGATGCTGACAGCAAAACAGACAGAACTTGACATTCTACAACAAACCATAAGCAAAACAGCATGATGGGTTATGGACTGAATCACAAACAATGCCAGTTTGGCCCTCAGTTGTTTTGCCTCTACCTGAAGATATCACATCTTCAAGGACCAGAGAGTTGCCGGGTCTGGACATGAATCGCCGCTCTTTGTCCACTAGCTTCTCCAGTGAAGACATGGCTTTGTCAACAGATGCCTCTTGGCTCGTAGGGACTTTGAACTCGGACAGGTAGTAGGCAACAACACTGCCTTCACTGAGGGCAATGAGACAAGAATGAAATAGTGCAGAGGCGGAGCAAAGTAAAACAAACTAATTGTTACTTCTACTATAAGGGTCATACAGATGTATGGTGTGTATGGCTATATCAATGCTCTTATTAGTCTTTTATCAAATACTGGAAATTGGTGTATGCAATATAATGTCTCTTCCCAACCACAGCTATGTAAAAATGGTCTTTTGAAAAATGTGTTCTTCCCAGATTCTATGTTACAGACTGATACAATTTAAACTACACTGAAGTGAACAGTAAACCCAATCTATTTCTGGTGATGGAAATCTTCACATTGGCATTCAAAATCTTCTGAACTTGCAATTTAAATAACAGACAATGTTGGAGATTAGTTGGTGCTATTGGATCTGCATGCATGCACACCAAAAAAGAGGAAAGAAAATCACCATCCAGTGAGCTAGTTTTCCTCCAAATGTCATTGTTTTTTTTGCGATATTATGCTAACCAACACACAAACAGACAAACAGGAAAGGAAACATGGCCCTCTTGGTAGAGGTCATAATGAAGGAGCCTTACCTGAATGCCTGAACTGTAGAACCAACATAGTATTTGACCAACTGTGGACTTTTGGCATAGATGGATTTAAGCTGAAAGAGACAAGAGCAGCATCACAACAGAGAATGAATGAATGAATGCGGTTTGAAAACACTCAATTCCATTTTTGAGGAGAGGGCAGTGTTGTGGAGGCCTGAGCAGCAGTCCCTCTCACCTGTGAAGTCACTTTCTTCGCCAGCGCCTTGAACTCGGAGCTGTTGGAGTCCTCGTAGGCCTCTACGAACGCCTGGTTGGTGATCCGCATGGAGCCGCTGTACATCTTCTTGAGTCGCACATCTTTACGGACTGCAGGATCACATAGACAAGACTGAGGTTACACACCCACACTGCGCAGCCTATTTTATCTCTGAGCCGTGGTTTTGTTAACTTTTATCCCTAATGTGTCAAAAATCTTTCGATTTGTGAAGTTTTAAGTCCCCCAGGTGTACTTGTTTCAACTGATGGAGCTTTAACCCCTCCTCCTAGCTTTTAGCCATTTGCATGTGCAAATAATCAGACAGAATAAACAGAATTTAACTTGCCCAAGAACATTCATCAAAAACTTGTACATTGTTAAAAATATATTTCAAAACTTCAGCAGATTTCAATGAAATACAGAGGAAAGTCCTAATGTGGATCCAGTAATTAAAAACACAAGGGCCTTCTTAAACTATTTCCTCATCATGTATTACATTAGCTTGAATAAAACCAATCTGGCAACTCTAAGAGCTCTACAGAGGGAATATAAAAAGTACACATATGCAATGTATCAAAAATAATGTAAACACCAAATAAAAATGACTAACTTTGAAAAATAACTGTGATAGAGTTACTTCTTTACATCCTTTTTCATGAACTGTTTGCTATTGTGTGCCATTATCAAATGAATATCAAGGAAGGAGTTCTTACAGTGGAAATGCCAGACCAGCAGTCCGGTCATAAGAGCAATAACGGCAGCAAAGATCACCACACCGATCACAGCCCCAACTTTCCCAGGACCCTTTTTCTTCTCAAGCTTTTTGTTATCCGATGCTGGCAGAAACTGGACAGAGGTGTCCCAGTCTTTGTCCTAGAAGACAGACAAGACAGTTTAATGTATGGATGAATGACGGATACATACAACTTAAGGGTCTATATTAAGATAACAACAACCTCAAAATATGAATTCCAACCATTTCACTGGAGCAGGAAGACATTTGTGGACATAAAGCTGCAAAGAAAAGAGTTTCAACTCTACCGGAGTAGATAATCAGCTGAAGATAAGCGACAGCAGCAGACAGCAAGTAGGTAGGCCTACTTGTGTATTTTAGGAATGCTCCCAGCCTGTGGTGACCTACCTAAGAGGTCCTCAACCAGATAAACTATGTTCTAATATATAACAAAATGTTTTTCTTAGACTAGTGGCTTTGTTAAGGGGAAGAAATCCGAGCCGGTTTTCATTCAAAATCGATTCACAAAATGGAAAGAACCGTTTCAGTATCTGGTGCTGTAAATGAGTAAGAAGGGAACTTCATGCATGAGTCACGGCCCCGTGGTTATCTTAAAGAGGTGAGACGGAGGGGGGAGGGAGTACAAAGGTTTCACCATGTAAAATCCTGTCAAACCTGCTGGGAACAAACCACTTGCTGATCTGTAGTGGAACACAACAAGTTTCTTTGTGTGCTCACTGTACTGTAGTAGAAAATTAAAAAAGGTCCCTGTTGAACTGGACAACTTCACGGGCAAACAAAAGATCATCTTAAAAACTATGGGATGTTTAAAAAAAGTCTAAAAAGATTCCCGAGGCTTTGAGATTTTGTACCTGCAACAACCGGTTTCAATAACCGAGGACAACAGTCTCTCTGCCTGTATAAACCTGATACTTTGAATGAGAAGGAATTATACTGCAACTATGACGACAAGCATTTGTCTTAAAAGAGCAGGTTTGAAATCTGTCATTCCCATTTCAAAGGCGCATTGCAGAGTCTGTGGAATAGATATGGATATGCATGGCTCTGTGTTGTTTCTTAACCAAAATATTATTATGTGCGTCACACAGTTACTGCCAAAGGTGTTTTTTGTTTTTTTTAAAATACCAAGCTACAAATTAAAAAGGGAAAAAGATTTTAAGTTGAGAAACAGCGAGAACATGTCAGAACACCTAATCTACATATAAACAAGATGGAGCTTTCGTGGCAACAAATCATTTTTTAAATAACCAGAATTGTGACTCATAACTCTTCAAAGGAACCATAAATATTAACTGATCAAGTATACATTGTTGTCAGCTTTTTAACAGTATTCATACAGTTCAATCAATATAATTACAATTAAAAACTAAAATCTGTCACACAAAACTTTAAAATAATCAAAGTATATTCCTTAAAATGTCAATTACCTAATGTGTAACAGGAACCTGGTTATTAATCTCGGTGACAACAGAAATGTAAATCTTAATACAAACCATGTAATCAATAACAACATATTTAAAATGCCTTTAATTATTACCCAGCCTCACTGTCAATGACCAAAAAACACTTGGCACAGCAACTTTACTCCTCAGATCTGCCCCACTGTGTCCTAACAACTCCTCTGATTGAAAATTAAAGGACAAAATGCCTTTATGTTTATCCATATCACATTGTGTGTGGAGTAATCACGAACAGATGTTAGTGGACAGAATTGAAGGACTCAAGTGAACAAGTCACAACAGAGCGAAGGAACTTGGAGGAATTCAGGCATCAGGCCCTCGATGCCTGCCTGCTTTGCTTGCTGAGGACTTTCACTGATGAAGCTCAGGGAGGTTCTACAGAGAGAATCACTATTTGAAAAAGGTTTGATCCAAAGCTTTGAGTCGGTTTAAAGCTTTGGGGTTTTGGAGCATCACTTACGTCATACCGCAGGTGGTAAGAGGCTTCAATCCTTTTTTTTCCCCCTATTGAGCCAACTTCTTGGAAATTAGGCCCCATGCAGAGAAAATGAGCTGGGCAAGTGCAGCCTCAAAGGGCTCGTTTGTTTGCGGAATATCTCAAAAACCTTTTACATTTACAAGGACGTTTGGTAGAAAGTTATAGCATGGGACAAAGGACATAAGATTTTATAAAAAGTATTTCTAATATTTTCTGATGAACTACTGCTTTTACTTGAATGAAAAAAAGATCCGACATATGCATATGTGTAGGCCTTTATTGATTTCTTGTGTTAAAATTACACACTTTTGGGGGGTTGTGTAGTATTTGCAAATCTAAAGATTACATTTTTGGGCTTTCTTTTTTTTAAACGTAGGAATAACAAGTTTAAAAGCTCGCCCAGAAATATACAAAATTAAACTCCTGGCAGAGGCTCTAATCAGTACAGAACCAGAAGCTTGGCAAAGAAGTGAAAGCAGGTTTTTTCTCAGCTTCTGAGTGCTGGATTTACTTAGTAACATGTTTGTCCTAAGGCCAGCCAGTGTGCTGGTGATAAGACTGGCTGAGACTGTAGATTTGTATACAGTGTTGTGTGTACCTGTAGAATGAACACACAATTAACCTTTCTACTTCATGTCTGACGGTTTTGCTATGGGAAGGTTAATTTACCTAAAGATCACACTAACTTTGACTGATCTCTTAAGTTAGACTCTGCATTCGTTTGTTTCACTTCCTGTTAATGCTCGCCACTGTCACACAAATATGCGCCAATGTTAGGAAAGCGTGTCATTCAGGAAACACCCAAACTCTTTCCCAAATCACGAACATTAAATCAATATTTAACAGGTTAAAACAAAGCATCCGCCCGAGCTAGATGACCTATAGGCTGTACAGAAATCCTACAAGTTTCTTACCGACTTTGGGGTGTATCTCAGTCCACTGTCCATGTAGTCCATCATGTCACAGCTAGACTAATAAGGCTAAAATCAAAAGGACCTAAAAACAGGTGAACTACTTCTTCTCTTCTTGTTTATTTATCGTAGTAGTCTCTGGTGCGTCCACGGGCTGTTTTCCGAGGTGAACCTACAGGCCTTTGGTCGCCGAGAGATGATTATTGTGTTTGTCAACGAATTCAACCTGCGAGCACAAAACAAAACAAAGAATCTACAGCGTTCAGGTTACAACGAAGAAATATCTTCTGGTGTCTTCAAAAGAAGTCTGCTCTCCGGTCGATGTGCTCACAAATGTCTTGTCAAGCCCGAATATGTCGCCCGTGAATCCTACGGGGAGAAACTGGACGAGACGGTGGAGAGAAAAACTCTTTCTGAGAGCTTCAGGTTTCTGCGGGCGTGTCTCCCGCACCTGTCGTGACTTCCTGTTTACCTGCCACAGGTTGGTGTGTTTTTTTTTTTTCTAATGACCCTTTATGCGAAACGACTGCAGAAAAATGAAATAAATAAAAGCACGCAATTAATTCTATTAGAACACTGACAGTGCTTGGAGTTCACAATTTGTTGTCGTGTTTCGAAGCATTTATAACATTATATATCAACCTGGACACAATTCAAAAGCGCTGATTGATTAAAATACAAAAAAGATATGTGAAGATGAAAATCTGTTCCTTAAATATTAATATTTATTCATGTTGTGATGTGTGAACGTACATGTGTTCAAATGGCTTGGTATGTGTGTGTAGATTGGAACCGGCATTTGTGAGTAGCCAAATTACGCACAAATCGATTTTTTATTTGAAGATCACACATCTGTGAGCATTTTGAGACTAATTTCACACCATCAATCTTGAAGGTACAACCTGATTTGAGTATCAGTACTATGACTGTATCCGCGCTTCTGATTCTTCTTAGTTACATAGATTGTGCAATGATACTGTAACGGACTGAAGACATATAATGTTAACCGGTTATGTTAGGTGTTATGGTGTTTACAGAAAGTGTTCTAAGATGTTATATAAGATTGGTTCTTGCATTTACGGAGGTCAGTGAAGGCCTCATGCCTGGTGGGATGTTGTGTTTTGTGCTGGTAACGAAGAGAGTTAGTCTATGACCGGGAGCAGATGGTTAAAGATGTTACAGAACGTTAACAGTGTTGACTGTTTGTTGGCGTAGGCTACAGCCCACAGTAGCCTGTGTACTGTCCGCAAATAAATACCCACAAGAAAATAACGTCTCGTAGCTTTCCTGAGTAAGGGTCGCTACAATACGATGACTCACTCTTGAGTCTCTATTTTGGTTACATTCATGATGAGCCATAAGTTTCTGTCTCATAAAATAGCATCCTCCTCAAAACGGGAATCCCCCCTAATCTGTGGGGAATGAAATGGATCAATTTCTGTAAGAGCCATTGTTGTATTGTTTACAATTTTTAGTATTTTATTTTCATTGCAAAAGTAATGTGTGTTATGCCCTTTAAAATGTTTAATATACAATATAATGAAGGTAATTGGTCATGTTGCAAAATATGCTATGATGTGTGTTTTCCCCTATTGTTATCCTCTAGTCCAGAGGTCTTCAACAGGGGGTCCGCGACCCCTAGGGGGTCCGCGGAGGTACTGCAGGGGAGTTGTGATATTTATATTTTTATTATTATTTATTTTTTCCCACACAATTGTTATGAGTGAAAATGGATCGTTTTGTAACTCTACCAAAAAACATGAATCTGTATATTATTTGAATAGCTTAGTATTGAATGCACAATAACAAGGTATGTTTATACGTGGCACTAGGCCCAGTTCAATACATAAACACAATTGTATACAATATACAGTGGGTACGGAAAGTATTCAGACCCCTTTAAATTTTTCACTCTTTGTTTCATTGCAGCCATTTGCTAAAATCAAAAAAGTTCATTTTATTTCTCATTAATGTACACTCAGCACCCCATCTTGACAGAAAAAAACAGAAATTTTTGCAAATTTATTAAAAAAGAAAAACTGAAATATCACATGGTCATAAGTATTCAGACCCT